GCCCGCCCAGTGCACCCCGCCCCCCCTCCGCTCCGACCATTTTACTTCTGCGTCGCACCGCCCCCGCCGTCCCGCCCCCCCCCAGACTTCTCCGATTTCTCGTCCACTCTCTCCCCCCTTTCATCCTCCTCCTCATTTGTTTTTCTTCCTCCTCCTCCTCCTCCTCCTCTTCCTCCTCCTCCTACTCCTCCTCTTCCTCCTCCTCCTCTTCCTCCTTCCCCCTCCATTTTGTGCAGGAGCCACGGCACGCGTGCCACTTGTTGTTCACCTCCGCCCAGAGGGCTGGTGGGACTCAGAAATTATCACGCTGCCACGCGACACTACCGCGACAAAGTGGTCTTAATCATACTATGACGGCACGAGGCCCTGGCACTGAAATCGCGATGCTTGCCACTCTGCGACACCGTGACATGTAGGAGCAGCAAAAGCAGCCGGAAGACGACGAATTCGTTCTGCCAGCCATAGCGCGCAGCTCCAGTCACACGCGTGCACGGCTTCGCACGCACGTCGCGCATATCACGCACGACACGAGGCACGAAAACCGACATTTGGGAGGGAACTTGGCATCTCTCGAACGTGTGCATTTTTCTCTTCGAGAACCATCGAGGAACAACTTGGATCATCTTGCGTGAAAAAGAAGCGCACGACGCTGAACCATTACACTCGAGAAAAAACCCAATCAAACATGACTGTCATATCGGAGGTTGGGGAGTGAGATCGCAGTGAAACGGAGACCCCCCACCGGGAAATCGGTTTCGGTTTCGTGTTCGTGTCGTGCGTGCGGGCGGGGCGAAGCTGCGCGTGATCCTCCTGTAGCTAGGCCGAAGTAGGAGCGAAAGTGCGTTCCCGTCCGCCGGTGGCTGGGAGGTGCCCCAGTTGGGCTGGGCGGTGTCCCGGGTGTCCCGGGTGTCAGTAGGAGCGAAAGTCCGTTTCCCGTCCGCCGTTGGCCGGGAGGTGTCCCAGTTGGGCCAGGCGGTGTCCCGGGTGTCCCGGGCGTCCCGGCGGTAACGCATGTCGCTAATTTCATAATCAATGTTGTTCGGCGCCTGCGACGAGCTCTCTTTCTAAATCCAGCTTATCTTATCCAATCCATCTTGTCCAATCCAATCCATTTTATCTTATCCAACCCATATTGTCCCATCTTATCTTATTGCACCCAATCAAATCTACCTAACCCACGGAGAGAGAGAGAGAGAGAGAGACAGAGAGAAAGAGAGAGATGAGATCAAGGTTACAGGCTGGAGGTCAGTCAGGGTGGGCATTTGATTTCAATCCCCCCAACCTCCTTATCGCCCGCAGGGCGGTCGTCGGAGGTTGGGGGGTGAGATCGCAGTGAAACGGAGACCCCCACCGGGAAATCGGTTTCGGTTTCGTGTTCGTGTCGTGCGTGCGGGCGAGGCGAAGCTGCGCGTGATCCAGACCCCCCACCGGGAAATCGGTTTCGGTTTCGCGTTCGTGTCGTGCGTGCGGGCGAGGCGAAGCTGCGCGTGATCCTCCTGTAGCTAGGCCGAAGTAGGAGCGAAAGTGCGTTCCCGTCCGCCGGTGGCTGGGAGGTGTCCCAGTTGGGCTGGGCGGTGTCCCGGGTGTCCCGGGTGTCAGTAGGAGCGAAAGTCCGTTTCCCGTCCGCCGTTGGCCGGGAGGTGTCCCAGTTGGGCCGGGCGGTGTCCCGGGTGTCCCGGGTGTCCCAGGCGTCCCAGCGCTAAGGCATGTCGTTAATTTCATAATTCATTTTGTTCGGCGCCTGCGGCGGGTTTTCTTTTCCAATCCAGTTTATCTTATCCAATCCATCTTGTCCAATCCAATACCTCTTATCTTATCTAACCCATATTGTCCCATCTTGTCTTATCCCACGCCCCTGCGGCGGGCTTTCTTATCCAATGCAGCTTATCTCATCCAATCCATTTATCCAATTCATCATGTCCAATCCAATACATATTGTCTCAATCCCCCCCCAACCTCCTTATCGCCCGCAGGGCGGTCGTATAGGTAATGTGTGGCCTAGCGGGGGGGAAGCGAAAGAGTGAGACAGGTAATCAGTGATCAATAAATACGTAGCACCCCGCAGTTGCGGGTAAGAGCGAGTGGGCGGTGGGGACGTTTGCGGTTTGGCGAGGCTCTGAAGAAGCCCGCCGCAGGCGCCTAACACCCGCAAGCTGTGCAAAGGGCTCGCCGCAGACGCCGATGTTTCGTTGAAGCAATGTGTCAGAACATGAAAAAACACATACACAGAAAGGGTTTTATTGGTTTTACGCTGGAAGGGGGCGTCGTTGAGAGGGTGCCTGGCACGGATGCGGGGATCGGGGTGGCGTCGGTGTTTGGAGCTGGCGGTTTGCGTGGCAAGTGCGTTAAACTGGCCGCATTTGTTTGGAACGCGTGACGGGTGGAAAGGCCGCTCACCAGTAATTGGCAGCCCTTTGCCCGCGTGCCAGAACATATCGTCGCGCGCTCGCAGCGGGGTGTGGGAAGGGGGCCCTGGGAAGAGAGCGCGAGTCTCCTTCCCAAGAAGTCCCTTCGATAGGCAGCAAGCAATTCTTGTCCAATTCATATGCCGCACGGCCAACCGAATGAACGAACAAGTGTTTCGGCGCGCAGTGTTAGCTTCGCTTGCGCGCATCCTCGCTTCCTTCCGTTGCTTCCTTCGTTTCTTTCTCGCCCTCCTCTTCCTTTTCCTCTTCCCCTGCTGTGCCTTGTCCCGCCCCCCCTTCCTTTCCAGCTCGGGGCTGTCACCGCGCGCGAAAAGCGCAACCCAAAGGGCGTTGCTGTAATTCCTTTGTGTGCCACGAAGTCTCGTGTAATTCCTTTGTGTGCGGTCTGGTTACACTGCCAACGCGGGGGCCACGCAATGACATTTCCTTTGTGTACGACCAGTTTCGCCGCCCCCACAAGAGCACGCGCGATCCCTTTGTGTAGAGCTTGTTTTTCCCGCCTCGAGGAGCGCACTGGGCCTGGCGCTACAAACGCAAGGCCGCGGAGCCCGGCAGTGCGACGCAACTGTGCCGGATACCACACCCAAAACGATCCTACGTGGATTTTGGCGCTTACGCCGAAATCGCGCTGGCAGCTGGCCAGTCACATCGCCGGCCTTGCATGCCCGCGCGCGCTACTGCGTTCTGCTGCCGCGACGCGTGCTGCTGTCAATTGATGAACAAACTGACGTTGCATGGTGGTTTGGCTGTGCCAAACCACCATGTAGTGCCCGTTGGCAGCGGAACGTGGGATCTTGTCGCCGACGACAGCGCTGCCACACCATACGTGTCAACTGCATTGTAGTGCACTGCCGTGCATCAGCCCTGGTCCGGGTCGCCGTGGATTCATTGGCATGGGTGCACATGCGTTGCACCGTTGGTGGTGCCAAAACCCTCTGTGTGAAATTCCTTCGTGTGTTTTTTCTTGCTCCTAATGTGGCTGGGTCGCTGGGTGGGTCGCGGGCGGGTCGCGGGTGGGTCGTGGGTGGGTCGCGGGTGGGTCGCGGATGGGTCGCGGGCTGCAGGTCGCGGGTGGGTCGCGGGCGGGTCGCGGATGGGTCGCGGGGGGGTGTAGCGGGTGGGTCGCGGGCGGGTCGCGGGCGGGTCGCGTGGCGGGTCGCGGGTGGGTCGCGCGCTGGGTCGCGGGGGGGGCGGCGCCAAACAAGAAAAACAACAACATAAACAACAACAACAACAACAACGACAACAACACCAACAACAACGACAACAACAACAACACACATCAATCAACAAACCACAATAACCACAACAACAACAACAAACATTCGCATCGCGGAATCCCATTTCAGCTACGCACCCCGTGGCAGGAATGACCGTCCGGCCCCCTTCAAAAAGAGAAAGAGAGAGAGAGAGAGAGAGATAAATAAAGAAAAACAGAAATAAATTAGGAATGAAAACGGGAGGGAGAGAGAGAAAACAAGAAAATACAGGGTGGGAAAAGAGAGAGAGAGAGAGGAATGAGAAAAACAGAGATTACATAACATTCAGAAGCAAATCATCATCTATAACGACTATACGTATTGCGTATCCAAAAGTGAGACAGATGTAAGGAACTGCCAAGAGCGAGAGAGAGAGAGAGAGAGAGAGAGAGAGAAAGAGAAAGAGAGAAAGAGAGAGAGAGAGAGAGGTAGAGGAAAAGGGGAACAAGAGCGAGAGATAGAGATATTGCATACCACGGAGAAAATACCAGCATCAGGAAACCAGAGAGGTATAGAGATATATGTATGTATGTGTTTATAGAGAGCAAGAAAGAGAGAGAGAGAGAGAGAGAGGGAGAGAGGGAGAGAGAGATAGGCAAAAAAGAGGGGTCGCCCACCGACAGCCGCCCAGCGAGAGCCGCCCACCGAAATTGGCCGGCTACTTTCGCCAATCTCTTGAGGGGGCGCTCACCGAAAGCTGCCCACCGAGAACATCCCGCCCAGATCGGCTGTTTTTTTCGCCAATATCTTCTGTGTCTGCTATCACCCGCTCAGTGTTAACACTGGAATGCACGGGGGATGGACGTTTGAGCGATGGAAAGGGGAGCTGTTTCGCATAAGTTCTCACATTTCTCATGCCCGCCTATGGCGGGAACCTCCAAAGAGAACGTGTCTTCCTGTTGGCTATCCTCCTGCGCAGGGTCCTCGTTTTGAGTACAGCGCGGTTGCCGCCTTCTTCTCCTTCCCGCCTCCCTTCTCCATCCCGCCTCCTGCCTCCTACCTATCTCTAACCCTGCGTCTTGCCTCGCCTCCCTCGGTGGCCGCCGACTGTGCATAGACATTGCCTTCCCTGGGCCTTGAAAGCTGCGCAAATATCGCCGCTCTCGTTGGATCCTGGGAGGCCCAGCGAAGTGACGTCATACCCAGATCAGAATGAGACCTCGCCTTCCGTGCGGACTGCGGGCTGCGGAACGGTCACCTCGCTCTTGCCACGGTTGGGCCACGCCGGTTCAAGCAAGTGTTGTGTGGCCGGGCGCGCGCCGAGGAGGGGGTTTTAGTTGTTTTTGATCGTACGTGCGCCTACTCTCTCCCGCAGGGTGATGTTTACTGGGAGCTCGCGTACGAGGAGGTGCCGTTCGAGACGAAGCTCTGGCACGAGCGGAAGGGCGGGTTTTGATTCGTCGTCCGTGCAGCAGCTCAATTCGCGCGTCCTCCGCCTGCTCCTATTCGTTTTCCTCCTCCTCCTGCTCCGCCTCCTCCTTCTTCTTCTCGTTCTCTTCCTTCCTCTTTTCCCCTTCCCAGATGTCTTCCGCAACCACAGTCTCACAGTGGTTGCTGGCCGCGCAACAGTAGACTCCGCGCCAGGGGAAGACCGTGCAGGTGGTGTGATTAGTGGACCGCCCGCTTCCCCGCCACGCATCTGCGAAGCGCTGGCCAAAAGGTGCACCGGCGACGGCTATCCTCGCCGTCTCCTTCCGCGTCCGTTTTTTTGCGTTGGAGCGGACTTCCAGATCTGGGTTTGCAGCGTTCGTGCGGTGAGCGCGTAGGAGGAAAACAACAGTTAGGCACAGAGGCCTATACTTCAACCAGTTGGACGCAGGACGAAGAAAGGCCAGAGAGAGTATGAACGGCTGTGTACGGGGGGCCCGCCAAGGCAAAGAGTATGCGTCCGTCTGGCTGGTCAGGGGGGTGATAGATTACGATCCGTCCTCGTCCGCCTCCCCCTCCTCCTCCTCGGGAATAGCGGGATCCGTAGCCAGTTTGGTTCAAGAGTTTGTGTGTCGAGGTGTTCCGTCTTCAACACGCAGGCGTTCAAAGTTTGACAGTTCTCATTTCCAACGCGGTGTCATGACTACGATAGCGTCGGCGCATGCTCGCTCTGTCGTTGCCGTCCTATGCGTCTTCACAGATGCCGAAGCCAAAGTCAAGGACAAGTTTTTGGGATATCTCGACCAGATGGCAGGTGAGGGGAAGGAGAGAAGCGATGTGACCACCGTTGCAGAGACACTCGACCGTGGCGCTGGTGTGCAGATTGAGGACTGGGGCGGTAAGAGTGACGTGATGTCTATAACTTTCGTGGAGTCCGACCGGGCCCACCTCCAGGTGCGCGCTTACGGGGATCTCTCGAGCAACGTGTCGGGGGGGACTCTCAACGTCAAGATGTACAAGGGCTCGGCTGCTGAAGGTTCGTCTACAGGAGACTGGGTGAAGCGTGAACTCGCATGGCACAGCGTCCCTCACACATACGAGGAGGACGTCTGCAAACATTGTGGCAGAAGCCACAGCAGACTCGCATGCCCCCTTCCATCTGGGAGCACTGAGCTTCGCTCCGCCCTCGACACGTGGCCACCAGTGGTGACTGTTGGCGGCCACAAGTTAAAAATCAAGGTCGTCGGTTCCGCCGGCAAGGCCACGACGTGCTTGCGGGTGCACGCGGATGTCCCCCGAGGCAAGAGTGGCGAGCTGTTCCACAGGGTCCAAGCGCCGCCAGTGGCGCATGCAGGACGGGCTCTGATGTCTGGAGCCGCAAGCTGTAACTGTCCCTACTCAGGGCCCGTATGTGGTGAAGACGGCCAGACATACGACAGCACCTGCCAAGCCAGTTGTGCAAATACTGATACAGCTTATTTGGGCAAGTGCGGCTACCAGGTAGCTCGTGATGGGCGAGCCTTCAGTTCGTGGTGGACCACGACCGAACAGGAGCCAGACGTCTGCGAAGATGACGATGCCGACCTCGTGTTTTAGCCCAACAATCCAATATTCCTGGGGTCACTGGTTGCGGGGATGCTGGTGGCATTTGCTTCGTCAGCGAAGATGTGCAAGGCAGATGTTGCCAAACGTGTGCTGCAGCTTTGATGGGGTGCAAGGGCTACAACGACGTACTCGGGATATTAGAAGTGGGGCCTGACGATTGCAGCGAAGTGGCTGGCTGGGGCTGGTGTTCAGCTTTCGGGGGCTTGTGTTGCGAAGCGTGTTCTGCGGAGGCCACGACAACGACCGACAAGGAGCTCTGCGCGGACGGCTGCTACAACGGGTGGCAGGGCGACGGCTATTGCGACAGCGCGTGCTACAATTGGGAGCGCAAGTATGACGGAGGCGACTGCGACGCCACGCCAGATCAAGAGCCAGAGCCTGAGCCTGAAATGTGGTGGACCACGACCGAACAGGAGCCAGACGTCTGCGAATATGACGATGCCGACCTCGTGTTTTAGCCCAACAGCCCAATATTCTTGGGGTCAATGGTTGCGGGGATGCTGGTGGCATTTGCTTCGTCAACGAAGGGTCTAAGGAAGATGATGCCAAACGAATGCTGCAGCTTTGATGGGGTGCAAGGGCTATAACGACGTACTCGGGCTATTGAAGTGGGGCCTGACGATTGCAGCGAAGTGATTGGCTGGGGCTGGTGTTCAGCTTTCGGGGGCTTGTGTTGCGAAGCGTGTTCTGCGAAGGCCACGACCTGCGCGGACGGCTGCTACAACGAGTGGGCGGGCGACGGCTATTGCGACAGCGCGTGCAACGATTGGGGGTGCAATTATGAGGGGGGCGACTTCGCCGCGCCAGGGCCCGAGCCAGAGCCTGAGCCCGAGATGTGGTGGACAACCACCGCAAAAGAGCTCTGCGCGGACGGCTGCTACAACGGGTGGCCAGGCGACGGCCGCTGCGACACCGCGCGCTACACTTGGGAGCGCAACTATGATGGAGACGACAGCGACGCCACGGTTGAGCCAGAGCCAAGCCTCTGCGCGGACGGCTGCTACAACGGGTGGCTGGGCGACGGCTACTGCGACAGCGCGTGCTGCAATCGGGAGTGCATATATGACAGAAGCAATTGCGACGCCACGCCAGAGCCAGAGCCAGAGCCTGAGCCCGAGATATGGTGGACACCGACCGACAAGGAGGCAGATGTGTGCGAAGATGAGGATGGCGACTTCGTTTTTCTTGCCCAACAGCTCAATATGTCCGGCCCGTAGCAATTTTGGCTCAAGTTCGAAACGCTGCCCTGGTGCTTCGAGCGTGGGCGCAGCCAGGGGGTTGGTCCATACGCCCCGAGGTTAGGCTTCCCAATATTTTTCCAGTCGTGCGCCAAAGCACGCGTAGCTCGAACATCGCCCGCGCTTCCTTCGCCTCGGACACGCTCTCCCGACTCTTCAGACATGCCGCGGGGAAGTGACCTTCTTGCAGCGATTGGGTCGTTGAGGGCTGAACTTCTCATTGCGATTGGACGTCAACTTCGAGCTGCAAGCGCAACAGGTGGCAGCGGCGCAGGAGATGCAGGCTGTCGTCATTAACCTGTCCGCCCAATGGGGGGAGTTCAGAATGTCACGGGCGCGGCCATCGCGATAGACGACGCGGAGGGCCCCCGCGACTGCCGCGACCGCGCTGCTATTTCGAGGGCGGTTGCCATGGCGGGGGCTAGGATCAGCCTTCTCCAGGGGCAAGTCTCAGCCATCTCACGCCCAACATCGAGTGCAGCGAGCCCCGCCAGTGGAAACAGTCGCAAGCGGCCAGCGAATAGATCTTTACATGGCAGCTTCTTGGAGACCAATCAGTCTAGCGGGAAGGGCCAACATAACCCATGCAGGGCCTGGATTGGGGCTTTGGCCCCGCGAGGTTTTGTCGCAGTATAGAACGGAGCATTGGGAGTGGTACAAGGCGCAGATTCCAGAAGAACTCCCAGCTGATGTGGAGCCTTTATTTGAACGCGCGGGTCGGTCATACCCGGTGATATTCACGACGGGGGACGCTGCCGGCCGCTTTAAGCTGTGGGCCTTCACCTCGCCCTCCACGTGGAATGATTCCCGCAGCCGATCAAAATCTTCCCCGATTCGGGTTCGTGGAGGTATCCCGTTGCACGATCGATTGAGGAAGGGCGCGTTCTCCTGCTTCTGGGGGCCGATGAAGGCGAAGTTGAGTGATGAGGTTGTTTGGGGTGGTAAGAAGCGCATGGGTTGCTCTTGTCATTGCTCAGGACAGTTCCAGATATTGACGGACGACGATTCTCGGGCGCTTTTCACCGGGGGGGCGTGGAAGTTTAGCGATGCGGGGATTGCTTTCATCGTTGACATAGCGACGAATGAGAAGCCGCGCATCCAGGATGGGGCTCGACGGACCCCCGCGGCGTTGCAGGCCACGACACGGCGCAGATGGGAGATGGCCGCGACGTCGTTGGCGATGAACGCGGCCCAGCTGCCGGGTGAGAGTTGGCCTCTTTTGCGGCGCCAGTTTTGCCGCCCAATTTGCGCAGCGCCGTGCGATGTGCCTCGTCGGGGGTTTGCGCCCCATGTTTGCTCTCCCTGTCCCTTCTCGATCTGTCCTTGGTATGCTGGAGCATGCTTATGTCTGTTCATTCTCTCCGCCAGCATCGCGCTGCTTGGGAGATGAGTCCGTTTGAGCGTCTGTCGGACTCAGGATATGGTTGCTGCCCAGGAAACCCATGGCCACCCAGGAGACATCGACCACCACTCATAACCCCACTGGCACCTTGGGCTACGCGTTCTTCCCCGATACTGCTGGCGGCGGAGGATTGATCGCTGCGGCCAGCAACAGGCGTCGTATGGTTTTTCTCGCATATTCATCGCCAACCGCGACAGCGGGGGCAGCATGGGCAATTCAATATAGTCCATGTGCGCGTGCCGGCACATCGGACCATTTCAGCGCATGCATGTATGTGCTACGCTTGCTCCGCCGCGAGGCCCCCATGTCGGCTGGGCACTTCGCGGCTATCGCGGGAGATTGGAACTTTACCCTCGAGGGTGAAGGGCGCCGAAGAGCCCGCGGAGGTCTAGTGTCCTGGGGGTCGTCGTCATGCGCGGGCCTTCCGCAAGCTGCTTCTTGACTTGATCGAGTTCGACCAGGGTGGATGCCCGTAGAGCAGTCGTGGACAAGACCATGGATCATATTGAGTTGGACAGACTTTCTTGCTCGGCCCCCGGCGCTACTCTCGCTGGCATGGCGATCTCGGCGACGACGATTGGACGTTTTCAACGTGATATGCCACATGGCCTTACCTGTCTCTATTACTCTTTCGACGCGTGTGTGTGCCTGGCAAGTCTGACGGCAAGAATGCCCCGCCGTGGCTGGCCAATGCCCCCGAGTTCGCCGAGGGGCCGGACAGGCCCCCGCCCGCGCCGCCGCCGACTGCAGCAACTGATGAGCGCCGGGCATGGACCAAGGCACGTCCGCATTCTGCTGCTGATCGAGCCCGCCGGCGGATTAACCTTCAAGTTGCTAGCGCGCATGAGGAACGTCGCCGCTGGTCCATGGCTGCGATCCGTGGCCTTCGCCTGAAAGGCGCCAAGATGATTGATCGGGCCCTCGCATATTATCCCAAGTTGTATGAGCACATTGATGACGCTACTCTTGGATGCACTGATCTTTTTGCGATCTGCCAGCGCGCGCGAACTGCACCGGGGGGCCCTGGGCGCTGAGGCCCTGGAACTTGAGAGCGACCCCCCCCCCCCGATGAGTTCCAGCGGGCGAAGGGGGGGGGTTAGATCGAACGTCGTCGTAGTTTCTGGCCGCAGCTTCGTCGTCGCACGTGGATTCGAGGAGCGGTTGACGAAAGCGCCCAACCACGCCCCGCCCCTGAAGCGTCTGCCGAGGCTCCGAGGCCCCGCTGGGGAGAGGGCTTCTGCGAGATGCAAGGGGGCCGCTCTGCGTGCCCCGAGCTGGTCTTTCTTGCCCGACAGGCGCCCTTCAGAGCTAACGTATCTTGGGAAGTTGGCTATGCGACATTCTACGGGGGGATCATTAAGAAACGAAAGCAGAGCACGCATGGACCTCATGGGTTCCCATGCCACTGCTGGCGTCTTGGAGATGCCCCGAGACGCCTCTCTGACTGTTGTCGGGACTTGATCCAGGAGAAATTCGACGCCTTCCCGCGGGGCACGTCGAATGTTTTCACGGCTTTCATTCCGACGGGCGACTCCCAGGACGACGTCGGAAATGAAGTATTCAGCGCGCCAGCGAACGCGCGTCCACTTTCCATGGCCAACACTGAGGCGAAGCTGATGAGCGCTCGCATGTGCCGCCCCTTGAACGAGCTCGCTCAGCTAGTGGTTGCATCGTCTCGGGCGTGTATATCTGGGCGCAGTATGACTGCGCGTCTTGTCCGTGCAGAGGCGCGGGCACGTTCTGAACGTCTGCTTGGCAACAGGTATAGCTCGCTGGTCCTGGACTCTGCCGCCTTCCCATCTCTCTCTCTCTCTCTCTCTCTCTCTCCCTCCCTCCCTCCCTCCCTCCCTCCCTCCCTCCCTCACTCTCCCTCTCTCTCGATTGAGTGCTTTCTGGCTGTCTTGGAGGCCGTGGGCGTGCCGAGGTTTATCCTCCTGTTCTACCGTATGTTCTACACTGATAACATCGCTCTGATCACGTTTCTGGGCGAGGTGTTTGATTCGATTGCCATTGCTCGGGGTGCTCGGCAGGGGGGCCCGGCATGGATGGTGCCATTCTGTCTCGGGGCGGCCCCGTTCCAGGCGTTTGCCAGTTTGCGTTGCCGGAGGGGGCCTGGGGGTGAAATTGGCGCATGCTGAAGACTGTCTCTACGGTCCGCGACAGACGGCTACCCGCCTCGGCCGGCTTTTTTCAGACCACTCGGATTCTAGCAGATGCTGATGGTCTCGGTCTGAACTTCCATAAGTGCGCGGCTTCAGTGAATTCGGAGATGTTTCAGCTTGGCTGAGGGGCCTCGTCGCGGCGCACAATCCTTAGCTTGCGAATACTGGCTTGTAAATACCTCGGCCTGATACATGGTCAGCTGGCGCCCCGCAGCTTCTGGAGCAAACCAGTGGCGAAGTTTTCTCCATGGGCGCGCGCGGCGTGGCAAGCTGGTCTCACACTCGCCAAGGATATTTCGACACTCCAAACGCTCTGTCTTAGCATCCTCTCAGTCGCCATGCAGTTCGCCCCCCTCTCGCGCTCTGTCACTGCCGGCTTTAAGATTGCAGCTGTTTGCGATTGGTCCGAGGTTCAGTTCTAACGATGAGATGTTGACGAATATGAGTTCCCTTGGTCCCCCTGGGCAGCTCAAGAATCTGGAGGTGGTCTCTCGGGCGACGAAATTTGGACGGATTTCGAGATGTTCGGAGATCTTGGAACGCTTGGAAGACATGGAGTGAAGTTTCAAGAGTGATGACGCATGCATGGTGCGTACTCTATCTGGTTGGGCGTCCTCTAGCTTTGTGCCTGCTCTTCTTTGCACATTTCGCAATGCGAGAGGCGCGCCCATTGCTTCGCAGAAGGGAATACCTGAGGATGGCAGGACCTTTCAAGCTGCAGTAGGTCGCTCGTTGGCGACCGCGGCTGAGTTTGTTCATGATGCTTCAGGCGACCTGCTTTTACGGATGAGGGAATGGATTGGCGATGTTCCCGGAGATGCCGCCTGCCATGTTGCTCAGAATTTATGCTCGTTGCTCTCGATTATATTGGAATTGTGAACATTGGCTTGGCGAGCTGACGCGCCCATTCTCTGAGTATCCTCCCTGTTTGTTTTTCTCTTTTCCCGATTGTAGAGAGACCTCGCTCGTTTTTTTGGTTCGCACGCAGTTGCCGCCATCACCATTTGTCTGTTGCTGGTAGTGCTTCTTCTCAGTCAATCCACGCCAGACTCCGAACCACTGCCCGCCGCCATCGATCGATCGCTGAGGCATGGCGGATTGAGAGACGAGCCCGCTTACTGCTTGAAGCAGCGTGAGGTGGGCGCAGGCTTGGATTTGAACCGCTGGATTTTTATACCGAGCGCAGGCTTGGATCTGTCCCGACGGATGTTTACCGACGTATGTGTTACTCTTGGGTGAGTAATGCCCTGCCTGGAACGGGGTCGGCGGATTTGAACACACAGGAGAGTTGAACTTCGTGAGGCATGGACCCAACCGCATTCGACAAGAAGTAAGTAAACCAACGAGATTTTTTTGCAAAGAGAGAGAGAGAAAGAGAGAGAGAGAGAAACAACAAAAAATACATCCGGGGTCACTGGTTGCGGGGATGTTGCTGGCATGTGCTTCGGCAGCGAAGAGGTGCAAGGCATCTGTTCCTGAACGCGTGCTGCAGCTATGATGGAATGCGATGACTATAACGACGTATTCGGGATATTCGGCATGGGGACTGACGATTGCAGCGGGGTGGATGGCTGGGGCTGGTGTTCTGCGTCCGGGATAGTGTGGTGTTGCGAAACATGCTCTTCGGAGGCTACGACCTGCGCGGACGGCTGTTACAACGGGTGGCCGGGCGATGGCTATTGCGACAGCGCGTGCAACGATTCGGAATGCATTTATGACGGAGACGACTTCGACGCCACGGCTGAGCCAGAGCCAGAGCCTGAGCCCGAGATGTGGTGGACAACGACCGACAAGGAACTCTGCGTGGACTGCTGCTGCAACGGGTGGCTGGGCGACGGCTATTGCGACAGCGCGTGCTACAATTGGGAGTGGAATTCTGACGGAGGCGATTGCGACGCCACGCCAGATCAAGAGCCAGAGCCTGAGCCCGAGATGTGGTCGACAACGACCGGCAAGGAGCCAAATGTGTGCGAAGATGATGATGCCGACCTCGTTGTTTAGCCCAGCAGCCCGATATTTCAGGGGTCTGGTTGCGGGTATGCTGATGGCATGTGCTTCGTCAACAAAGAGGTGCAAGGCATCTGTTGCTGAACGCGTGCTGCAGCTATGATGGAATGCGATGACTATAACGACGTATTCGGGATATCACACATGGGGCTTCACGATTGCAGCGGAGTGGATGGCTGAGGCTGGTGTTCTGCTTGCGGGGGATTGAGGTGCTGCGACACATTCTCTGCGGAGGCTACGACCTGCACGGACGGCTATTACAGCGGGTGGCCGGGCGACGGCTATTGCGACAGCGCGTGCAACGATTGGGGATGCAACTACGACGGAGGCGACTGCGACGCCACGGCTGAGCCAGAGCCAGAGCCCGAGATGTGGTGGACAACGACCGACAAGGAACTCTGCGCGGACTACTGCTGCAACGGGTGGCTGGGCGACGGCTATTGCGACAGCGCGTGCTACAATTGGGAGTGCAACTATGACGGAGGCGATTGCGACGCCACGGCTGATCCAGAGCCAGAGCCAGAGCCAGAGCCTGAGCCCAGATGTGGTCGACAGCGGCCGACAAGGAGCTCTGCGCGGACGGCTGCTGCAATGGGTGGCCGGGCGACGGCTATTGCGACAGCGCTCGCTACAAGTGAGAGTGCAATTATGACGGAGGCGACTGCGACGCCACGGCTGAGCCAGAGCCAGAGCCTGAGCCCGAGATGTGTTGGATAATGACCGATAAGGAGTTCTGCGCAGACGGCTGCTACAACGGGTGGCTGGGCGACGGCTATTGCGACAGCGCGTGCTACAATTGGGAGTGCAATTATGACGGAGGCGAGTGCGACGAAGAGCTGCCTACCGACCCTGAAGGACTCGACTGCAGTCAGTGTACCGACGATGATGGGGATTGCGGGTTCAACGTATCCGCAGAGTTTTGTTCCGTGCGGATCAGGATGAGAGGTTGTGTACGGGAACTATTGCTGTAACTACTGCGACGACGCCAGCTTGCAGTTTTTTGGTAGCTGTTTTGTCGGCTGGTAAGGTGCTTGGGCTTACAGTCCTACGCTCGTGCCCTGGTTGTTGGGCGTGGCTGCGGTGTTGCAGTGAGGCAGTGCCGCGGCGCAGAAGGCCGCCCGGGCACTTCGGTGGTGCGGGGCCCTCGGGCGGAGCCGCTCGTGCCCAGCCGAGTCCTTTCTTGCATGCCGGATTTCTTTTTGAATGAGGAGGATGAAGGGGGAGGCGGGGGAGGTGGAGGTGGTGGGGTGGTGGAGGTGGGGGGTGGGCCGGGTGGGGTTGGGGGCCGTGGCCTTCGCGACCTCTGTCCGAGCGCTTTTGCCGCCTGTTTGGTCGCGCGTGTCGCGTGTTGGCTCGGGCTATTTTCATCTGCCGGGAGCTGTTCTGATGATCTTGCTCCTTACAAAGAAGGCAGCAGCAATCTGATCTTGCTTGCTGGCAAGGACGCTTGTTTTTTTTTATCGCAGTTGGGTACTTCGATTGGTTTCCGCAGGTCACCTCGTCGACTATCGTTCCTTCGATTGGTCGTATGTGGGATTTACCCATCTGACCCAGGGCTCTCCTCCGGAAGAGCGGAAGACCGGCCTGCATTCAGTCCGTGGCAGCAATTCGGTCCAGGTGGCCGCATTGGAGGTCGGGGAGCGCGCGCAGCAGGTCACGCCCATCTTCAAACACCGTTCACCACAAAGGCAAATACCGCAGTGCTGGCTATATCGCATAGGTGCTAAAAACAGAGATGCTCTGCTCGTCATCCTTCGTTCCCCCCTCCTCCCCCCACTTCGTCCTAGCCCCTCGCAGACCTAACTTTCGCCCAGTTCGATCCGATTCGATTTCGGTGCCCCAGCGATCCGAAGCGGCCTGATGCTTGCATGTTGTCAAGTGGGCTTTCTGCGCACCCGATTCGATTTCGATTCCGTGCCGATCCACTCCGATCCGACTTGCATTCCGACTCGACCCGATTCTCCGATTCGGTGTTAGCTGATCCTGCTTTCGTCCGCCTCCCCCGCTTCGTCCTCGCACCTCGCAGACTGCGCCGGGACCCGCGCCCCTGGGGCCCGCGCCCCTGCGGGGCCGCACCCTCGGGTTGTGCCTGCCGCGGGCCCACGCCGCCCCCGCGGGCTGCGGGCTCGGCAGGTCCACGGCCGTCGCGCGCCACCCGTCCGTCCCGGTTGGAGGGCAAAGGCGACCTGCCTCTAAGAGGGCCAATGTCTCGGGCCTGCGCCAGATGCCGTTCTCGCTTGCGTGTGGTTGCGTGCTGCATGACGCCACAAGCGTCCATGGACACATGGGGTGTCGTTGCGTGCGTAGGCGCATTTGGGGTGGCTGCGTCTACACGCAACGCGGCCCTCGCTTTCGGCGCAGTGCGAGGTCGGAGAGAAGGTAGATCCGTCCATGGTACGTCCCTGTTCTAGAGCAAGTCCCATCATGGTATTCCAACGCACCGGGCAGCGCCACCCAGAACGGGGCGGGGTGGCGTGGGAGGGCGCGGAGGAGGGCGAGGCTCAGAGGAGGCGAGGGCACCGATACCGCCACCCTCGCCTCATTGCCGCCTTTTGTGGTCCTCCTGGGAGGCCCTCGCCGCCACGGTTGGATTCGCCTCGAGGTGGTTGTCACGCCCCCAGGGAGAGGCCTGGGGAGTGGCGGGATCGGTATCTGTTGGTTTCCCCAGCGGCGGTGTGCGGGGGGAACGTGGGGAGCGGGGAGGGGTGGCGGCGAGGGGCGGGCGGAGGAGGGGCGGAGGAGGAGAGGGATCAGAGTGGGGAGGGGGTCGGACGACGGCGCAGGAGGAGTGGGAAAGGAAGGAGCAGGAGCGAGCTGGGAGGAAGGAGGATGGGGCGGAAGCATGGGTGGAGAGAGGAAGGGGGGAGGGGAGGTAAACGCGAGGACGGAGGAATGACAACGGAGGACAGAGGGAGGGGGAATGTGGAATATGTACTAGGGGCGACAGGGGGGGGCATACGAGGGGGGGCAGTGGAAAGGGCAAGGGGATAGGGGGAGGGGGATGAGGAGGTGGGCGGGGAGAGGGTGGAGGGTGGAGGTAGTCAGTTGCACCACTGCCCTTTTGGAAGCCTGGTCTGAACTGGTTTGGTCGGGTCAAGCGCGTTGTGGTTGGATTCGGCAGGAATCTGGCTCACCGCGGCTGCAAACTACCAAAACTAATGTGGTTTGGTCGGGTCAAGCGCATTTTGGTTGGATTCGGCAGGAATCTGGCTCACCGCGGCTGCAAACTACCAAAACTAATGTGGTTTGGTCGGGTCAAGCGCGTTTTGGTTGGATTCTGGCTCACCGCGGCTGCAAACTACCAAAACTAATGTGGTTTGGTCGGGTCAAGCGCGTTTTGGTTGGATTCGGCAGGAATCTGGCTCACCGCGGCTGCAAACTACCCAAACTAATGTGGTTTGGAACGTTTGGAAGGGATTCTGGCACTCCAGAGTCGTAAAATGTGAAATCTACATCGGTTTTGACGGTTTCGAAATGATGTTGAAAGTTTGGAACATACTCTGGCACTCCAGGGTCGAATAACGTCAACTCTACACCATTTTCGAAGGATTCGCACGGATTCTGGCACTCCAGAGCTGCGAAATACAAAACATAGAAGGGGAAGAAGCAGAGGAACAGAGGAAGACCAGGAGACGGAGTCAGAAGTATAACGAGGAGGAAGGATAGAGGCCTCCTAGATGGGGTCGGAGTAGATGGGGTCGGTGGATCGCACCGTATCGCCGATATATCGGCGATGCATCGGCAATGCATCGGCGATGCATCGGCGATGCACCAGCGATGCATCGTCGACGTCGTCGCTTCATCGGCGACGCCGGCGCGAAGAACATCGGGCCCCGCATTGAGCCGCATCGCCGATGCATCGGCGATGCGACGCGATCCTCCGACCCCATCTACTCGGACCCCATCTAGGAGGCCTAGAAAGGATGATCAGGACAAGACGCCGAGGGGCCGAGGGGTCAGCGACGGTCAGCCCAGCCGGCCGGCCGGGCCGGGCGTCGCAGCGGGCGGCCTCTGGCTTCGGAGCGCCGCAGGTAGAGCGGTCGTCGGCGGCGGAGGGCGAAGGGGGGGGAAAGGGAGGAGGGAGAGGAGAGGGGAGGGCCTGGGGAGAGGGAGTCAGGGGGAACAGGAGAGAGGGAGGAAGTAAGGGAGAGAGAAGGAGAGGGCCGGAGAGGGAGGGGAAATGGGGGAAGGGACATTGGAGGAAGGAGAGGGGACAAGCGAGGGCTCTCTAATCCCTCCTCCTCATCCTCCTCCTCCTCCTCCTCTTCCTCCTCATCCTCCTCCTCCTCCTCCTCCCCCTCTCCCTCCTCTTTGTTTTCCCGTATCCCGCCGGGGCCCGCCCGGGGGGCCCGCCCCCTCCGACGCTTTCATCTGCAATGGCGTCGCAAGCACACGCGTCTGTTTGCACTGCCAGCCGTGACGCTGGCGGAGTCGCCGCCACAGCGTGGCGGCCTCGCTGCGGGACCCGCGCAGCGCGTGCACTAAGCGGCGAGCGGAGGGAGTCCAGACTGTCCAGAGAATTGTGTTGCTGTTGTGTTGTTGCTGTTGTTCCTGCTGCTGCGCTGCTGCTGGTTTGCTCACTACTGCTATCTGCTCTGTCTTGCTTCCACTGGGCTGGCCTAGAGGGCGGCGGCGCCAACAAGAAAGAGGGGAACCGGGGAAAAGAGAGGTGCGCCCAGCGCGCCCTGAGAGACCGAGGGCCGAGCGCCCGTCGGCCCGAGATGCCCTCGACCGTCGACCTCCTCCCCTCAGGAGACGCCGCCAGGCTGCCAGGTTCTGTGTGGCCCAGACCCAGGCCCGACCAGACCCGACGTAGCGGGCCGCGAGCTGCCTGCTTGCGGCCCGAGCCTCGACCTCCGATCGAGGCGGCCATGGATTCGAGGGCGGTCGACGGAGTATTCATCCACATACTGCCTAGAGCGCCCAGGGTTGCCAGGCCAACTCGATATCGCCGAATTATCAAAATCGAATCGCTGCCGAATCAAACCGAGCTAGAACTAGCGCTTCGACCTGCTGCCCATGTCAAAAATCTTCTGCTGGCCCGGCGCGGCGGCCGCGGCCGCCCGACTCCTTTCCGCCGCAGTCGTAGTGGCCTTTCTCCCGGGCTGCACGGCCTGGCAGTGGGCGCCAGCCCGGGAGGGGCCAAGCAAGTTTCGAGGCCGAGGGGGCCATCATGAGGAGAAGGGGGCGGTCCCCGGGGCGGTCCGAGGAGCAGGAGGAGGAGGAGGAGGAGGAGGAGGAGGAGGAAGGGGAGGAGGAGGAGGAGGAGGAGAGGAGAAGAGAGGATCGGACCCATGGGGCCAAGGACCGGGATCCCGTTTCCAGGAGAAGGTTGAGAAGGGAGGAGGGAGGAGAGAGAGGCAGGCGGAGAGGAGAGGGCGATGACGAGAAGGGACAGGGGAAAAGATGGCGAGGCCCCTGTCCCCGCTGCCCGATTCGCCTTCGTCGCCTCCGCCGTCGACTTGCTGGCCTCCTCAGCCGCCTTCTTCTCAGCCGCCTTCGTCTTGGCATCATTCTCTTCCTTAACTCTGCGCTCCTCAGCCGCCGCCTTCTTTTCAGCCTCCTCCTCCGCCTTGGCATCTTCATCTTCCTTTATCTTGCGCTCCTCAGCCGCCTTCTTCTCAGCTTCCTCCTTCGCCTTGGCCTCTTCCTCTTCCTTTATCTTGCGCTCCTCAGCCGCCTTCTGCTCAGTCTCCTCCTTCGCCTTGGCCTCTTGCTCTTCCTTAATCCTGCGCTCCTCAGCCGCCTTCTTCTCAGCT